TTCTTAGGGTGCCCTGACTGCTAATATTCTCATTCACTGAATTCCAGTGCAAATCAAATCAAAAGGACCAATTTGGTATCTCTCTAACCACCAATACCACATTTTAAGTGATAAAGTATCAATTTAATTCTTTTAGTGTAGAGTATGAGATGACTTCATACAAAACATTCTTTGACTTACTAACAGCCTTGGTCATCTATAGGTCTTCTTTCTTCTCATCACCAAAAGCCAGTCATGGAAGCCGTTGCCTTCATCTTCAAAATACCCCTTTTATTACCTCTTTCTTTCTTTTCCTTAGCTTTCCTTGTCACCTCAATTCTGCATTTCCAGAGCAGCCTACCATGCATTCAACCATGGTTTAGGAACTGAGCTAGACACAGGAAGATGTCTATGGAATTGCCAGACATGGATCCCGCCCTGAATAAGACTAAGACATAATAAGGGAAGTAAGACACATGGATAATCAATGAGATAGAGATGATTTAAAGGTTCAGGTAAGGTGCTAAAGGGGATTCATAGAAGAAAGAAGTAGAGTGGAGAAGGAGGAAAGGGGAGATTCTTGCTAGAGATGCACTAAGTTAAATAAGGAAGAATCATACATGGCAAAATATGAGAAGGGGGATATTCCAACTAAAGAGTGGGGAAAAAAGTGAAGGGAAAACAGGGATCAGCAAATAATTGGCTGGACTATAGGATACTTGAAGGAAATTAATGGCAAAGTTAGAAAAACAGTCTGGTACAAGATGAAGGAAGGCTTATGCTAGTTTTAAAAATTAGAACTTTATAATACAATGTAGAACCATCCAGGGCATCTGAGGTAGGGAGATAAATCTCCCTGAGGTCCCAACACTAAGCCAGCATTTTGGCAACAATGTACAAAATAGATTAATTGAGGACCAGGGGTGGGAGATCAGTTGAGCTACGACAACAAATCAAAGAAAGGTATAAAAAAAAAAAAAAAAAAAAAGACTTGAGCTAGAATTTTGAAGACCGGATGACTGAGAGTAATTATGCCAGTAGAAAACCAACCAGACTTAGGAGCAAAGGAGGGGGTGATACCACAAGGATGACATCAGTACAGCCTATGTGAATTTTGAATTTCATATGATTTTCATGCCTCATGAAATCTTTTTTCCCCAACCATTAACAAATGTAAAAATCATTCTTAAATTGTAGGTCATACAAAAATAGGAAGATGTCCATTTTTGGCCCTTGAGCATAGTTTGCCAACCTTTGCACTGTGTTGTAATTCTTTGTCTTCTTCCCAGCGATTATATTTGATTTACCAATGTGAGGAGAGGTCCTGATTATTTTCCTTTGGTTAATATTGACATCTTGTACTTAACATGGCAAAATTTCACTTCTACCTCCACAAATAAGTAAGCTGCTGAAATGTTCAAGTAGGAACTGTTGACTGCTAATGGGAGGATGCACTAAATCCAACACTAGGCTTTAATGACTCCATTGGTGTATCTGCCATTGTAAAATGACTGTGTGAAAGGAATACATCTGGTCACAATGGGGACACATACACAAGGAAGGAGCATAAGGATGAGAGTTGGGAGTCTCAATTTAAAAATCAAATGTATTTCTATTTAAGGAATTGATTTTATAATTTTATTCGACTTCCAAAATTTGCAAACAAGATTTTCCCTTTCAATTATACATATGTATACATTATACATTTTGAAGACCGGATGACTGAGAGAAATTATGCCAGTAGAAAACCAACCAGACTTAGGAGCAAAGGAGGGGGTGACACCACAAGGATGACATCAGTACAACCTATTTGAATTTCAAATTTTAGCAAATATAGACTTTCTTACATTTCATAAAACATTTTAACTGATTCTGAGAGGGCACTAGTGTAAGTCACACTCTCTGAAAATTCTCCAGTCCACAATTACCAAAACATATTTAACACAATATCTCATCTTTATCAAACAAATAATGTCTACAATGTCATTTTACTAGTAAAGTAACATAGAACTTTCCAGCTTTCAGATGAAAATCTAGAAAAAATGTCCTTTTAAATCAGGCTCACAATTTTCCAAAGATATATGAACATGATATGAACATTTCAGTAGCACTTAAGATGTATTACAGGTAACAAAAAAGCAGCAGCACATAGAATCAAGCTCTTTATATTACTTGTCAGTTTTTAAAAAAGGTATATTAAAAAAATTTTTTGTGGGTTTTTTCACTTCCAGCATAGCTATATCTTTTTCTACTACAGAAATCTCAGAACATTTCTGTAGTCATTTTAACCACAATAAAAAAAATCTCTCTCAAGTCTTAGAGTTTGTGGCACAAGTCAATAGCTAGGATCTTTGAAATAAGAAAAAGAATCTCAGTGTCCAGGTCCCTATCAATATAACAGGTTAAGCTAAAGCTCAGGAGAAATAATCCCAGAAAAAATGTTTTCTCCTCACTCTTCTCAACCAGAAGGATCAACTCTGTGCTCCCAGATGCATCACCCCTGTGGTTCTGGCTTACTTATCACTGCCAGCCCTCACCCTAGTAGTTAAATATTTGACTTTGTACAATGCACATGCTTTGTATTTTTTCAATATTAGTATTCTCTTAAATTTGTACCTGAGTCATCTGTGATCTTTAGGTATAAATGGCAACCCAAGAACAGGTAAAGAGCCCTCAAATCCCAACTCCTTCCCCTCTAGTCTACCTTTTTTTAAAACTTTCCTGCTCCCGGCCAGCCGGGCGCGGTGGCTCACGCCTGTAATCCTAGCTCTCTGGGAGGCCGACGCGGGCGGATTGTTTGAGCTCAGGAGTTCGAAACCAGCCTGAGCAAGAGCGAGACCCCGTCTCTACTAAAATTAGAAACTAAAAATATATATTAAAAAACCTAAAAATATATATATAAAAAAAAAATTAGCCGGGCATGGTGGCGCATGCCTGTAGTCCCACACATTTTAAGGGATAAAGTATCAATTTAATTCTTTTAGTGTAGAGTATGA